GTAGTAGCAGTAGTAGTAATAGTACTAGTAGCAGTAATAGTAGTAGTAGTAGTAGTAGTAGTAGTAGTACTACTACTACTACTACTGCTGTTGCTGCTGCTGCTGCTGTTGCTGCGACGACGACGACTACTACTACTAGTGGTCGCAGTCGTCGCTAGGAGCTCTATTTCTAGTGCCTATGCTGTCCAACCGGGTCGTAGTCAAGCATTCTTGGCGCTGCTGCAGGATCCAACATGACTTTGAGTCTGCGGCCGGCAAGCCTCTAGTGCCACTTTCTATAGCCTCCTTGGGCCCATAATTGCTTGCAGCTGGTCGTACTGTTGTTTGAAAAGCCCTTCATGTGTCTTCATTAAGTCGAGCAGCAGTTGACTTGCTTGTAGGCCTCGGAAGCCCCCGCCCGAAAGTCACGCGCACACCTTGGATGTCAAGCACGTTGTTGTTTCAAATCAAGAAATCCGCGTGGTGGCCACATGCAACTGCGCTGCACTTCTCGAAGCTTCTAGAGAAGCAGAGATCCTCAAAAACCCTGGCCCTTTGCAGGCGAGACTCCAAGTGCCAGGATACACGACCTTCATGGAATCTGTTGCTTATCACTGATCGTAACCATGCACATTTCGAGAAGGGCGCCCCGTCATATGTGAATCTGCAGGCAAGATTTGTTGAAGCTCAAGCAGCAAAGTCGGGCTTCAGTGCTTGAGATGTATGCCTTAGTTCTCCTACACGTTTTAATCTTTGCCGATCTTGTCGGCGAACTGTTGTGCTGATGGAAGCCAAACAAGGCACGGGCACTTCAATGTGAACATAACATCTCCCAGCTGGTATAGAAACTCCTCATGACACCCAGTAAAGCAAGATGTGTAACAACATGTGTGGGCAGCTCCTTCCAGAAATTGAACTAGTAGATCGATTCATGCTGCCATGACTTCTGCGATTTAGGGCTTGTCAAACAAAAATTCACACACACACACACTGTGGGTGCCGGACTTCTCATGTTACCGCCGTGGCCTCCATCGTGCGCAGCTTGACAGAGCTGATGACATGGCGCACGTTGATCGTCTCGGATCGAGGCCGCCACTAGGCGTCTTAGTGGTCCTAGCATCAAAAGCGGAGCCTGCACAAGCCCTTTCTGTGCTGCTCTCCGAATGTAGAAGTTTCTAAATCACTCTGGCGGGGTTCCGTAGAGTGTGTAGTTAATCAACAAGAGGTCCTTGACAAGATTTGGATAACGGTATGAAGATGGACAGCAGCCCTTCGAAACTGGTACTGAAGCCCTGACACATCCCAGACATACTAACAAACGAAGCACCATGCTGCCATCGTGAATGGAAGTGATCTTGAACATATCACTTCACATAAAGACCGATGTGACCAATGAACATGATCCTCTTTCTCCGAAGATCATAGTGGACAAAACACAATCAAAACACTACACAGTTGGCGATAAAGCTCACGGTAGGATGCATGAACAAGCAGCAACTGAAAAGAGCATCAACCATTCCTGATGCTAAATTTTTCCACACATAATCGTAGAAGCCATGGTCTCACGTCTCGCGACTTCTGCTCTTTCCGTCAAGGTGCCAGAAGGTCCAAGGTACCCGCCAAACTTCGCTGCAAGACCTCCGAAGACTTGAGCAGACTGCTCGGCTCAAGAGTGACTCCCATCCGGATTGTAGAAAGCTCAGAACTCAGGCCTTACGCTTATGTCCAAACCCATCAACTTCCAACTCCTGCATGCTCACAACGCTGATGCCATCTCCCACGGCACACGTGGCTCTCCGCCGCTGGCAAAGTGGCGTGAGGGCAGCCGCTGCCATCGTGGATGCGGACGTAGCCGCAGCATGGCTTTCAGCTTGCTGGGTTGAGGCCCAAGGCTCCAAAGACATAGCTTGACATAGCTTCTGCTAAATTTGGGGCCCCTCACTTGTGGGGCTTGTTTTCGGGTTTCCTAGTGTCTTCATAGCGCGGCCTTGCAATAAAGTTTCCAGGGCTCGGAATGCTGTTCGGGCTTAAGGGTTTCGGAGCTGAGGGTTTTGGGTGTTGTCAGAGTTGCTTAGCGCTGGGTCCGGGGCCAATGAGGCTTGGGTGTAGGATGCTAGGTTTGCTTCTGTTAAGGGTTCGGGGCTTGTTGTTTCCATTGTTGTCTGACACTCCCGCCAGCAAATCCATGTCGGGTTGGCGTTTTGGCGTGGTCCACACTGGCTTGGGGTAGGGGTGCCTTTGTCTTTTCAGGTCAGCACTGCGCGCACAACACTGCGATCAAACATGTGGGGTATCGTGGCTCTTTTACTCTGTCTCTTCCTCTCCTTCTCCCTCGACTGAAATGCCAACCACGCGCGAACGTCTTGTCTGTGAAAACAGCCTTGTGGGGCTGATCTGTCCTGGATGAAAGAGCAAGTCAGAAGCATAAGTAAGAGTACCTAATAAACATGATGTTTACATCCCTCCCTCTCTCCTACCGCTTTCGCTCCGTTCGTCCACTCCCTCAGCAAATCAACAGACTGAATGGAAGGAAAGAAAAAAGGATGTGACAATTGTTAATGCTTCCAAAACAAGGGTGTCTTCCCGCGGTCGAAGTGTTTTCGGGGCTTCAGGGTTGGAGGCTTAAACTTCGGAAAACCCGGTGCTTCGGCCGTCTTTCCTTCCTGAAGCCCAGCTCTTGCAACCAGGTTGGTTCTTGAACCAATGCAGCCGGAATCGGCCTGCAGGCTTGAGGGTTTTTGTCCATCGACAAACGCACTTAGCCCTTTTTGGGAGTTTCCGAAAATAGGGGGTACCTTATTTAGGGGTCCTTATAATAAGGATCCTACTACTTAGGCTGCTATATTAGGGTCCCCTATTTTCGGAAACCCCCATATCAAATGCCAGTCATTTGTCCTGACTCCTCCTCCCCATGCCAGCGACTCGCCATGCAGCTTTGAAATTCAACAACCTTGGCTAGGTTTCCAGCACGGCCTACTTGCCGCTCAGACAGCAACGAAGGCCTGCTCCCAGCTACCAAAAACTACATTGCAAACCTGCTGCAACGAAAAAATATCAACATGCATATCTACATAATGTAAACTGTGCACCATTACGAGGACAATGATATACATATATATATATACACACACACACATATATATATATATATATGTATATGTATATGTGTAGATTATGCTCTTCTGAACGAAATGCTTCAGAACTGAAAGCAAGCAATCTCTTCAGTGGACTCTTCAGGCTGCCGATTATTCCTAAATTTTCTAAATGCCACAGCACGCAGTGCTTACACCAAGCGTATGCATGTGTAACCTTGCATGGTAACTCTCGCCGCCTACTCACCGCTACACCAGTACAGGACAACGGTACACAAACACTTGGAGACAACACAGAAGCACACATGTGTATATACGAAATGCACTTGGCATCTACACACTCTAGCACGCAACAATCCGCAAGAATGATCTGCTTCGACTGCCGGGCAGCTCAAGCAATTCTGGTGTTGACTTCCATTGGAAGCCCTTTTCACAAGCATCTGCCGCACCACTGTATGTATACCTTGACAGAAACGCAGCGAAACTCGAGGGTTGGATCGTAGGCGTTGCATGAGATGAATCGGCTATATTGCGCTATGCCCGAGTGTATACTTGAACAGCCGTGGTGGCACTTCCGGCAGCCTGCCATCCTTACATGACTACTCTGCAACGAAACACTGCCGAGACACTCGTTTGGCTTGATTTCGCGTTCTGCCATGCTCGCATACATTGAAATCGCCAAAGTCCACGCGGCAATTCTGGCGCAAGCCGTGATAGTGGCACTGCATGCCACCAGATCAGCATCAACAGACATGCTGACCTGATCCGCGGATCCCACAACGCGACAACCTGTTTTTTTGCCTCCTACAACCGGTTCGTGCTGCTTGTTTGATGAAAGAAACACAATCTACTGATCAGGCCAGGCACCATCGCTTTGAACAGAGAAACCGCGGTGCATCGCTGGGAGGCTCTTTCACAAGCACTGACCAGGCTACTGCATGTGAACTCGTTCGGGGAAACGGTGCGAAGGAGCATGTGGTCCAGCAGTGCCAGTGCCGAGGACCACTGCTCTGCATTTTCACCTCGGTCTGGCACCCGTACAAAGGCTCTACCCTGACATGGAGCTGCCATGAAGAGAAACAAATCTAGAGCAGTGCCAACTGAGCTGAGCACAGGCCTTGATTGCACTGGTGAAGCAAACCACATCCGGGTCCACAGCTGGAACTCTCATTGCCCATAGGAAATGCAAAGCAATTTGCCATGTACTTGCGCCTTCGCAACACCTGATGGCTCCGCTGTACGTGAATCGGTTGGGAGCGACTTGGCTTTGTGCCATGCCATCTATTGTGGACAATGCCCTTTCCCAGCGTCTCGCGATGCTACATGCGCTGATGAAGCTGCTGTAGCTGACGACATCGGGTAAGATTTGCTGTGGGATGAGTTGGCTGAGGATGTCAAGCGCAAGAAGCCAGGAGCTGTATTGCGCACAAGCAACCAGCACACTGTTGTAGCCGTAAAGATTAGGGGTTATCCGTGAAGTTCCCATGAAGCTCAACAAGGCGAGAGCAGCAAACCACGCCTCCTGTTTGGAGCATGCGCCTAGAACGCTGCAATAACACACCACGTCCGGGAAGAAACGGTCCTGAGGCATCGTTGCCAAGATATTCAAAGCGGCTGGCCAAGAGCTCGCACGTTCGTAGGATAAGATTTCCGACCTGCGGCTTACAAATGCTTCAGCCCAGTCGTCAGGTGTCATTGCATCTCACATGGCCAGCTGTTGCCAGAAGCTGATCGCTGTCGCCTCTACCATTCATCAAACGTGCATCTTGCCCGCTGCTCCTTGCTCAAACGGCAGGTGCAAAGAAGCTAGGCGCGCAGCGGCTCCATGGCGGGCTGCTGCTCCTTTGCTACCGACGACGACTGCCGGCACGGCTGGGGCACAACAACACAGCGAGAGGCAACCCACTATCAGCCAAGATGTTTCTGAACGGCCCTCAAGAAGCCCAGCAAATGCCCACTGCATGCTGCATGTGAGCATGCTCGTACGGTAGGCCGAATGCATTTGCAGTGCAAGCCAGTGGAAGCTTGCGGCACGGGCTTTTCGAACCGATTTTAAAGCTTGGACTTCGCCGACGATTGCACGCGCACGACAACCTGCCAATACTCGCACGGATGCAGCAGTGTCGTTCAGGGCTTAAGGCAAAATGCACCACTAGGTTGTAAAGCAAAACGATCCAAGCCTTGCCCGTATTGCCTCCTTCGAAGAGGGCGCGAAAGGCACTGCCAAATGACTCCAACCCATCGAAGACGGTCCTTATCTGATTACTTTTGCCAGCCCTACTAGTATCTCTGTTTGTAACGCAGCAAATCGCAAGATTGCTTTCTACATCCTACGCAAGGTCCGGTAAACTAGACTCAGTAACGAAACGACTTCACGAACTTCTGCCTCCGAGATGCTCTTCCACTTTCACCTTGCCTTCGTCGACCCACTTGGCCATGTCTTGTAAGAAGTTGCCACGCTCACCCGAAAGCCAAGGGAAACACTGAAAGCCTTCCACGCGTTGCGAGGTGTAGATCATGTTGGATATGTATATCTTGTTCGGGGTCATCTTGGGCTTGTTGTAATCCGATATGACACCACAAACGGCCACACGCCCGTTCGGCCGCAAGCACTTCATGGCTGCTTCAAAGTGCATTCCGCCAACATTCTCGAAATACATGTCGATGCCGGAGGGGGCGAGCTTAGCCAGTGCCGTGATCAAGTCCCTCGTGGATTTGCAGGCCTGCCCGAGGCGCACAAATGACTTGCCAGCAAGCTGCCTAAGCTCATGATTTTACACCTAAACCTAAACATCGACTAAAAGGGCCGGGAGGACGTGCTTTGCAAAAATATTTAAGCTCTGCGAAGGCCTTGTAGTCAAGGCAATGGTCAAAGCCGAAGCGGTCAGTGACCAGTTTGCACTTCTCGGGACCCCCAGCCGAACCAATGACGGTGCAACCGAACACATGCTTGGCCATCATGCCAACCATGGAGCCAACAGCTCCTCCAAAGGCATTACAAGAAGATAAAAAAGTTCGATAAAATCGTGCTACAGTAGGGGTCCGAAAAAACTAGAATGTAAAGCAGCAAGCCTGCAGCGCCGCTCACCCAAATAACTTCGCCACTTTTTGGGCGCAAAATGTCTGTCAATCCCCCATATGCCGTAGACCTCAGCGACAACAAACGCTAAACTACTCAAGCAATGCCTTTTGCGAAACTAGCAGTCCCTGCGTGCCTGGAGCCCACCGTAACTTAAAGAGAGACAAACACATGAATGCAAGCAAAGCTGCCCAGGCATTCCCAGTGCTCCGATGCCCAAGCTGATGTTCTCCTGAAGGTCCAAACTTTAAGCCGCAACGCACATGCCCCAAAAGACACGTGCAGGGTCCTCGCTCACAAGGCCGGTCAAGCGCCGGAACATGCGAAGCCTCGATGCTGGTACTGCTTGGATGTCAATGTAAGGTAGTTCGGCACCGAAAAGGTCCCCAACTTTCCATTCCGGCACGTTCGTCTCTAGAACTTTCCCGGCCACCAAGCCGAGCATCGGCGCATCGGCTTTGTAATCTCCATCGGATCGAATGCGGTACCGCATGTACGGATCAGCACTGACGACTAGGAGCTGCACCAGAATGCCGTCACCCAGCTGTGGACGTGGATATTGCCGCATTTCGAAATGTTCCGGGCCTGGCACCCCTGCATTCAGATTGGTCCGGAGGATAAGAGCACTTGCCATCAAGTGCACGCAGTACACCAGCTGATTAGCATCCGCCCCGGATTGAACCAAATGGCTGGTGAGTAACAACGGATACAACATGGAATGCGCTTGCAGTGGAATTCATATAAACAACTACACATGAAGGCATGTCAACTTTTACAACGCGCTGGGTACGGCCACGAGATGTTGCGTATTTCTACGTTGCTCCCGACCTGCCGGAACAACAAACCGCATTTCTTTGTGAGCATCTATATGTCGTCGCGGGCTGTTGTTGTGCCTGCACGGCTTTGTCGGCTTACATGTCGGGACTGCGGTCCCGGCTTGGGTTGGTCTCGATGTTCAAGCCGAAAAGTGGCAAATTTTCATACGGCAAGCCGAAGATGCAGCACATTATCATGCGGGCGCTACAAGATTCCGTGGGCAGGTCCATTTGTGGCGGCAGCAGAAAATGGATTTGCGAGCAAAAGCCGAGGTGCAAGTTGCGGTGCCACCACCCAACACACACAAATGGGAATCGGTGCAGCGCGAAGGGCCGGGATCGGCTGGCGAAGGGGCACGCCTATGCAGGTCGGTGACAGCCCTCTGGTGTCAAGTCGTCCGGGTTCTTTGGCGCTGTCCAAAACACGTGACAAGGATTTTTTTTAAAGCTCGGTCCTGTTTAAGTTCTGGTGCGGGAGCATTCCCCCTCCGAGGCAGGTAGAACATCGGCCCAGGAAAACCAATGGGCGGCCGGACAATGTTCGGCGCACGCCGCGGCCGCAGGAGTCGATCCGCAGGCCTTATGGAGCTCGCTGCCGGTGGCTGGCAAAGACTTGTGTTGTTGGGAACTGAACTCGGCGGGCGGTGAAGCCGTTCGATTCCTGCAGGGCCTCGTCCAATGCAACTCCGATATCGCCATGAAACTAGCTACCAGTGACATAACGTCATCAAATAATGTCTGAGAGCTAATCGTGTTTGTCGTCACCTGTGGTTGTGCTTCATTGGATCAGAGCTGTGTTAAATTTCCCGAAAACACGTGGAACGAGGAAATGCATTCGAGCGGAATGGTCCCTTCGACTGCGCGATTCATTCGATTCCAGCGACGGCAACCAATTTCCGTTGATTTCAATCGCAGTGTTTTTTTTTGTTTTTTTCAAACGGACCTGTTTGCACCTTCGTTCGCAATCGGCGTGCGCAGGCTAAACCCTACAGAAAGGTAGCTAAGGAGACGCCACCCCTCCCGTGCACGAAGAAGGCGAGCTTCACGGGGCGGGGGAACGACTTGCGGGCACTGCCTCGGCGTCACGGGCATCCTTGTTCCCAAAAACCTTTCTGGGGTTGGGTTCTCGTTCAGAACGGTAAGCCGCGAGAGCGCGATAACGAAGCCGACGCGTCCGGGAAGAGCAAACGAAGAGGAAGCCGTGTACGGAGGGATCGCGGAACCGACGGGAGTGGAACGAGCCGACGGGAGAGCAAATGAAAAATGGTACACGGGCAGGGTTCACGGGTGCACGGGAGTGCAGGAAGTGGACACAGAGGGGACCTGTGCCGAGAGCGATAACGGTGCACGGGTGTAGGGAAGGGGCAGAGAGCGATACCGGATGATACCGGTGCACGGGGACGGTGCACCGGTGTAGGAAAGGGGCAGAGAGCGATAACGGTGCACGCGGACGGTGCACGGGTGGGTGTAGGGAATGGGCAGGGAGCGATAACGGTAGAGGTGCATGGGTGGGGACCAGGGCAGAGAGCGATAACGGTGCACGGGGACGGTGCACTGGTCTAGGAAGGGGCATGCAGGGGCAGAGAGTGATAACGGTACACGGGAACGGTGCACGGGTGCACGGGAAGGTGCAGGGAGGGGACCGGAGCAGAGAGCGATAACAGTGCACGGGGACACGGGTGTAGGGAAGGGGCAGGGGCAGAGAGCGATAACAGTCACGGGGACCGGTGCACAGGACGCGATAACGGCGCACGGGCCGATGCACAGGTACGCGGAGGTGCAGGGAGGGGACCGGGGCAGAGAGCGATAACGGTGCACGGGGACGGTGCACGGGTGGGGACCAGGGCAGCGCGCGATAACGGTGCACCGGAACGGTGCACGGGTGCACGGGAAAGTGCAGGAAGAGGATGGAAGGGGATCGGGGCAGAGAGTGTGCGGGACGGTGCACGGGCGTATCGTAGGGAAGGGGCAGGGACAGAGAACGATAACGGTACACGGTGAACGGTGCACGGGAAAGTGCAGGAAGGGGTCGGGGCAGAGAGCGATAACGGCGCACGGGGAGGGTGCGCGGGTACGCGGGAAAGTGCAGGAAGGGGACCGGGGCAGAGAGCGATAACGGTGCACGCGGACGGTGCATGGGTGTAGGGAAGGGGCAGGGAGCGATAACGGTACACGGGAACAGTGCAAGGGTGGGGACCAGGGCAGAGAGCGATAACGGTGCACGGGGACGGTATGGGTCTAGGAAGAGGCAGGAGCAGAGAGCGATAACGGTACACGGGAACGGGAACGGTGACGGGTGCACGGGAAGGTGCAGGGAGGGGACTGGGACGGTGCACAGGTGTAGGGAAGGAGAGCGATAACGGTACACGGGGAACGGTACAGTGCACGGGCACGCGGAAGTGCAGGGAGGGGACCGACAACGGTGCACGGTGTAGGGAAGGGGCAGAGAGCGATAACGGTACACGGGCACGGTGCACGTGTGGGGACCCGGGCAGAGAGCGATAACGGTGCACGGGGACGGTGCACGGGACCAAAGGGGCAATGCAAAGAGCGATAACGATACGCGGGGAACGGTGCACGGGTGCACGGGAAGGTGCAGGAAGGGGTCCGGGGCCGGGGCAGAGAGCGATAACGGCGCACGGGGACGGTGCACGGTTACGCGGAGGTGCAGGGAGGGGACCGGGGCAGAGAGCGAATACGGTGCACGGGGACGCACGGGTGTAGGGAGGGGGCAGGGGCAGAGAGCGATAACAGTACACGGGGAACGGTGCATAGGTGCACGGGAACGTGCAGGAACAGGACCGGGCAAAGAGCGTTAACGGCGCACAGGGACGGTGCACGGTTACGCGGAGGTGCCGGGAAGGGACCGGGGCAAAGAACGATAACGGTGCACGGGGACGGTGCACGGGTGGGGACCAGGGCGCAGATGGCACAGAGCAAAAGCTTCCTTTGCGCTATAACTACGACGTTTACAACTCATGTGCATGTTCCGTTGGTTTTTGGGTTCCCGGCTTGACCTTGTTTTTTGTTCTTTTTCCTGAGCATGAGTCTCGGGTACCTGCTGCACACGTCGGCGCAGCTTTCTACTCTATGACCACCCTACCGCGAAGCGGCAGGCGGCTCGGCCCCGCTGCGTCAGCAAGGTCGAGCACACGTTCCAGCTTTGGGGCCGTCTATCGGCTCGCGTGAGGAGGCGCCGGCCAGGCTGACCCCAAGGCAGTGCTCGTGACCAGCATGGCCCACCAACCCCTGGCCCATGCGGGGCAGCGCTGCGCACGGCTGGCGGAGCCCGCTGGGCAAGGACACGGGCGAGGTCGCGGAGCAGCTGGTGCTCACCGGCATTCCACCGCCCGCCGCCTTCGCTCCCGAGCACCACGAGTTGTTGGGGGCCACCGTTGAGGTGCGGGAAGACGGCTCGCTCATCGGAGCGGACGTTGGGTGCGGTTGTGTGCGCCAGCCACTGTTGGGGGACAACTTCGAGCCACGCGCGCCGACGCTCGCTCCACGATCTTCGCCCTGCGAGCTAACATAGCAGTGCGAGTGCATGCGAGCGCGTAGTCGTGCAAGGCGTCCACTAATCCGCCGCACCCGGGTGGGCCACAACGGCTAGCACACAAGGGCAGCGGGAGGCGCAGGCGGCGGCGCAGGGCCAAAAGCACTGCTTGGGGCTGAAGCACGCAGGCCGGCTCGCACGGTATTGCAGTCAACCAAGTGCTGGCTTGTGGGCCAGCCTGTGAGGGCACAAGCGGAAGGGTACAGGAAAGGCAACAGGGTGCGTTCCTTGTTTTTCAACACACCTTTTCTTCATTCAGAGGATGGCCTGGCATCGTCTAATGCGGGCAAGGGCCGGGTGCTCGGAGGCAAACCCTTGTTCCCAGCAGTATTCTGCAAACGATTTTTTTTTGTCATCGCTTTAGTGACGGATGTGTCCCACATGGCGGTTAAGCTGTTTTCTCGCCGCACTTCATTCAAGCTTCGTGCGCTGATTCAGCATCGTGTAAGCGTACATGCCGCTGAAACTAAGGGTTGCGCTAACGGCAGCAAATGCTCCAACAGGACGTGCAAGTTACGTTGCATGCATACAATTCATGTGGATAACATGAGGCGCACTTCCCTTTCCTAGCAGCAGGAGACAGCCGGGAAGTCTGAGCAAAGGCGGACCTACGGCTTTAAATGCATATGTCCTGTGCATGTCAAAACCCCTTTGGCGACCTTACGTCTCATTACAATGGACAAATGAAGACCCATTTGCAATGCAGCCATGCGATATAATACAAAACTAATAGACAGTACTGCCATGAGAATCGTACGATGTCCCGGAACAACCGTCCAGCGGTCAGTAGAATGTGAGACCCAGGGCCCAGAGGCAAAGCCACATGTGTCGTCAAGTGCTGCTACTACCGGGCTCCAAGCCTTCAAGACCGATCTTGCAGCTGGGCAAATGCTGGCCGCAAAGGATGTGAACGCACAAACGGAGGCACGGGTGCTCTGGTTGGTGCTCTGCATATCGTTAACCAGATAAATGTCGCTGAAGGCCAGGTAAAGTCCGCAAACGGTTCGACCACGCTTTCTTCAAGTGGAGAAACATGAGGCAGTCACGCAATGCGTGTATTCGACTCCAGTCAGCAGCATGCCCATCAATGGAGGGATGACTGCCACTTCGAGCAAATGTCCACTCCCTTACCACCCGCCCTGGCGATCTGGAAGAACGAAAATTTGAGCGACAGTCGAGGCAGGGATGGCACAGATTGTACGGTGCCAACGAGCGAAGCTGTACCACTTCAAGTTGGAAGCCAAGCTGATCCAGGGCCGGCCGGGCAAATCGGTGTTTCCAGCGAGCAAGGAACCGATAATCACAGCCAGGCACGGCCCCAGCAGCAACAGGCAAACGTATACCCGCATTGCTCAGACCTCCCCGGAATGGGTTTGCAACATCCTGAGTTGGGACCGGGACTTGTGTCAGAGTGGATGGCTGCTCAGGTGCCGGCACGGCACACGTTATAAGCGCTCAAAATGCGCATAGGCATCACTAAGACAGCATTTTCCAGTGGTGGTGAGGCTCATGAGACCGCACAGGTGTGTTGGCACGCAGGCCGAGGGTGCAGGAAGCGGAAGAGGAAGTGGAGGATGCAGAACTTGCTGCAAACCCGTCCGACGTGCATGACGAAGATGGACGTTCGAACACTGCCACGTTCTTATGGAGACGGCTGTTGGAGAAAGGCTAGCGCTGGAAGTCTGTTGTGATGGCTGCACGATAGCGCTTGTCAGCATCGCATCAGAAAAAAAACAGCTGGGGCTGTCACCGGCACTGGTGGAGCTGGTCAATTGTATGGAAACGTGCCGAATGCCTTGAGGAGCGTAGACAGCAAAGTTGAAGAGCTCTCGAAGCATCCACCTTGTTGGGCCAAAGTGGGTACCAGTGCGAGTTGTTTTCTAAGAATTTGGTGCTGGCTTCAGGTCGCCCTCCTTGCAAGATTAATGGTTTGAATGAGTGCCTGTCACGAGGAGAGCACGTCATTGTCGGCACAAGCGCCGGTTTTGCCAACATCCGACTCGGTTGCAGTGCGGTGCCCTTGAGGGGAATGGAAAAGCCATGGAAAGCCCCCGCGAGAGAGGCTTGCACGTAGGTGGAAACACCGCCATCGCACCCGGAACCCCACCTCCTGACTGGCTGCTGCCGCCTTGTGTTCCTCCTTGTTCTTTTTGCGACGCCAGCAAGAAGTGTACCGGCAGCGATTCCGACTGACCCTGACCGAACTCGCCGCTGTTGCAACGTAGAACGCAGTTACGGTGGCTGCGGATGCGGGCGGCACCGAATGCGGCAACGTGGAAACAAGTCTGAGTCTCTTGCTCTGTCGAGCCACCAGGCGACCACCCTTTTGACTTTGGTGGTGGTATGAGCAAGATGCCAGGCCCGAAAATCTGGTGGGCATGCTCTGGTGGCATGCCTCGCGTCGCGTGCGCTGTCGACAGGAGGTGGGCGTGTGGTTCGGTGAGGATTTTGTAATCTGATTTCAATGTCGCCTTCCATCAAGCCACCCTGCCCTAAACCCTAAACCCTAAACCCTAAACCCCCTAAACCCTAAACTCGCCCTACTTTGGCGGGGCAGGAAGCCCGCCTCTCCGCTCCATTGAGAAAGCTGCTATTCACAACCCCGGGCAAAGCAGGCAAGCGAGGATCTTCGAGCTTTGCTCGCATTTCCGGTGGTTTGTGTCTTGGTATCTGCGTTCAAGTGGTCATTGTGTTGTTGCGATGACAACTTAATCGGCTGAATCTTGGGTGTCCGGATACCGCTACTTGAGTGTTGTCTTCCAGTCATCCACAAAGTGCACAAAGCAGACAGATCGTCTTCTTGAGAAGCGTGCGTGCAAGTTCCACCAATCCATTGCCTGGGCCGAAAACCGCGGATTGTTTTCCCCGCAGTCTCTTCCAAGCTTACGTGCTGCCTTCAACACTTCATGGAACTGCCTTCCTAGACAATGCATATGTGTGCCCCGCGCTGAGAAGCAGTTGCGGCAGTGGGGTCGCCGTTTACTTGGTTGGCATGCAGGTGCCTCAAGTGCACCAGTCCCAGGTGAACTCGGTTGGGCCTTTTTATTGAAATCCACAAGGTCCAGCTCAAGCAGGCCTGTTTGGCCGTGTTTGTCAAGCTGACCCGCATCGCCCATCGCAATCTGACTGCTCGCGCTTTTCGTTATGCTCTCGGTATTCCGTTCTCTTGGGCGCATCAGGTTCGATGCCGTCCTCTCGTCATCCCTGCCTCCGATGTGGGGCGTTGTTAAATGGCTTCCTGTCCCCCTCCATCATGCACCTTTGGGGCATCCAGCAAACTTATGCTGTGATAACCTAACCTAACAAAACTCCAGCGCCGGCACAACGCACTTTTTCTTCATGGTCGCAAGAGCAGTAGCACGAATCGATTCTTGGGTACCAGTTCGGAGCTGTTCTCCCACATGGCACGAATGTCTCCGTTGCTGCTGCCCAGACCCGCTTTCGTTTGCCCTTAACAGAAAACGACTTTGGCAGAGCCACGGAGAGATTGATATGGACAGTTCTCAGCACGGATGACTAAGGTCTCACGAAGATGTGCAGGTCAAAGCTGCAGGTGGGACCCTGAGCAAACACTGTCGTCGAGATTTGTGTGGTCTGGGGATGGAAGTCCTTCTCTTGCAGCCTGCAGTAAGATTGGGTTGGGTGGGTGTCAGGACGAGAGCAGCTCGAAGAATGTCGGGGTTTGCTCGAGATTCGGGGTTCCTTCAAACTACAGGGTTCTTATGATTTACACATCCTTCCATGGCAGGTTACTCTGAGTCGGGCCCCAAGCGATGTTATCGTAAATTCAGAATCGCTCACGATGTTCAGTGTCCAAGACAGCCCAAATCCAGAACACCCAGTAAGCGTCGAAAATCATGATGAGTTATGCTTTTGGTATTGTGTGACAAGAGAACTATTTCCGTGCTCAGCCAACGCGACGATTCATGAGACACGAACTTGAAACCTTTCTGATGCTGCTAACCAAGGATCGCATCGCTCGAAGGGCACTCCTTGGCGAAGGTGATCCACCAGTTTAAAGGTTTTCTCGGGGTCCGACCCTGGAGCTACTTTTCGAAAATAGGGGACCCTAAGAAGGATCCTAATTATAAGGACCCCCAAAATATGTTACCCCTTTAATTTTCAAAAGTCTTTGGTGCTTGGCGAATTGACAGGCGCAGGGCAGGCTCATGGTCGCACAAAGCCTGTGAACAAGGGCTCCCAGGACAACTTTGTCCATGTAGGTAGTTGTCAAAATTATGGTCCCTTTTGGGGTACCCTAAATAATAGGTGCCGTATTATAATAAGGACCCAAAAAGGGACCATAATTTTGACAACCACCCATGTAGGGGAAATCGCAGGTGTGCAAAGGCACCCTGAGGAACAAGCAAAGCCCGCGAATCCCAACATTTGGTTACAGAGCTTCATCTACTCCTGAGCACCCCGACGGGAACCTTGACTCATGATTACCCATACTATTTTGGGGGGTTCCCTATTAGAAGTATAGTATAATGGGCCCCGAAACCCAATTCTAATAATGAAGGCCCTTATGTGCTTTTCCTTCAGGAGCTTTGGGTGTTGCAGGCGTGTGGTGAGGCCACACAGGGTTCGACGTGAGCTTTGCAACGCACGTTGTCAAAGGGTTTGCCCAACAATAAGCTGTTGTGTCTCATTGCGACCCTCCGTCCAGGATGTCCGAGAGTGATCTCCGCCAAACGGAAAGGCTTGTTTGAGACGTTTGGGCTCTGGAACTTTGCAACCTCAAGCTGCCACAACAATGTTTTGCAGGATGTCAGGAAGCTACATGCTCGCCATGTCCTAACTGCAACACCGCCAGGACCCTCAAGCCAAGAAGCAGAAGCAAATAATCGCACGCAGCGCCATCCAACATGCGTATGACCCTACTTAGAATCATCCATATGAGCCCTCGCCTTATAACACCCAGTAGCAACCCTGATACAGGCCAATAGAAACCCTCTGTAACCCCAGTTGTAGAGCTCAATCTGCAAGCAAGGATCGCTGATGTTGAGCGTGGCATTCCCAATCGGAGCGATGGCAGGAGGCGGTAGCACCTCATGCTTCGTTGCGTTTCGGGTGGCACGGCGCATGAGAACTAGCGTGAATAAACAAATGAATGTAAACATGAAAAAACGCCGCGGCGTGGCATGGTTCGTATGTCTGTCTGTCTGTCTCTATCTGTACGGATGTATACATGCACATGGGTATGCATGTGCCCATGCATGCATGCATGCATGGTCCGAAGGGATTGGGCCCTAAGCCCCAAACCCTAAAAAGCCGAGTCACGTCCCAATCCACCACGGTGTCCACGCGCTTCTCGTGCTGAACCTTTGTCCTCGGGGGCCCGGTTGTTTGCTAATTTAGGAGTCTTAAGAATAATGTAACAGTGTTAATGATGAGACTAATAGTTTGAATAAAAGTAAGAATGATAATAGCAATAGGAACAATAACAACAAAAAGCACATCACAACAACGACCAAAAAGATACCAGTAATAATCATGATCATACTTGCAATAGTAATAGTAGTTGGGGCTTGAGCTAGTCATACTAGTAGCAACAATACAGAGAAGGACACCAACGACAGCAATAGTATGAACACAAATATAACACTAAAAACTTAATGAGACCATACAATATATAACACAATATTCAAATTCATACACCTGTATATATATATATATGTATATATATATATATATGTGTACAATATCATATGCCATATATATATATAGTACTTAGTATATAACTTATACTATACAATAAAGAATACACAAGATGTAGTGTGTACTATCTGATTTAAAAGACACAGTATATCTCATATCATATTGTGTATATAGCATCTGTTATATAATATAAGGGTATAACATAACATGTAACATACGATATAGTATTTATGTTATACCATGTAAAATACAATTTATTATGCTACATATCTACTAAATAGCAAGACTAGTAACAACGACACTAATTTTAATTAGAGCAGGGTTCCTTATACTAGAATTGCAATAGGTTTCTGGAGAAGGGCCCCAAACCTTGAACCCCTAATCAAGTCAGGCTACGTACTCAAAGGACCCTCGACCCTGTACTCCGAAACTCCAAAACCCAGAGACCTGAACCTGAAAAGATCAATTGAGAAGGACGAGTTCATCTGGGGCTGACAGCAAAGCTGGGTTTCAAGCGCTTCTTGAAACCAATGTTCTTTTTTCGGTCTTGCGACCTGCGACATGCAACAAACTCCTAGAACCATACACACCCGAAAGCCCAATGCCCAAAACATCCCAAAACCCGAAACTCTCAATCCGAAAGCCCTAACCCCTAAACCCAGAAACCCCTTTGAGATGGCGCCAAAGTGCGCGCGACGACGTGCACGCACACGGCCCTAGCAAAAAAAAACCCAAACCCCTATACCCCGAAACCCCCAACCCGAACTGGCTAGTACCAGGCCCGAGAGTCCACATCGCCTTACTTGGGCAAGCTGGTCGCTTGTGCCTCAGCTTTGCTCAGGGGAATGTGGCTAGCGCCTTTAGGGAATCCTTGGATTTTGATTCAGGGTTTTAGGGTTTAGGGTTCAGGGTTTTAGGGTGTAGGGTTTAGGGGCTTAATTGGGGGTGACATAATTCGTATTCTTGTGTGCTGTGTTTACGGGCGACCTTGCTTAGTTTGGGCCAGCTCGTGCAGCATACAGCCTTGTCCTAGCGTTCAGCATGTCACGTACGATGGGGCATCTCGTCATGATGTCCTAAACCCTACACCCTAAACCCTCTGACTTTTGCCGGCAAGCTGCGTGTACTCCATGGGGGCCACGTCCGAGGGGACAAAGCTGCACTTGTCGACCTGTCGCCCAGACCCTCAAAGCCCAATACTCTTTAATTAAGGAATATACCTTAAATCATAATATGAAGGCCCCCATCATTTAAGGTATATTCCTTATTTAAGGAATAGACCTTAAATCATAATATGAAAGGCCCCCATAATTTAAGGTATATTCCTTAATTAAGGAATATACCTTAAATCATAATATGAAGGCCCCCATAATTTAAGGTATATTCCTTATTTAAGGAATAGACCTTAAATCATAATATGAAAAGGCCCCCATCATTTAAGGTATATTCCTTATTTAAGGAATAGACCTTAAATCATAATATGAAAGGCCCCCATAATTTAAGGTATATTCCTTGTTCAAGGGGTATTGGGCTCTGTGGGGACCCTCAAAGCATCCTCAAGATGGAACCCCTAAGACTCAGGGCCTGTCCTACTTGTAGGATCATGGGACTTAGTAAGTATGGCTATAAGTCCCCTAATTGGGGTTATAAGTATAGTTACCTTAGTTATAACCCTACTTACTAAGTCGCATGATCCTTTAAGTAATTGCAGGATACCTTCTTCAGGGTTCTACTCTTTTTATCCCTTTTCCAGGCCTGGGCTTAGCTGTCCTGGACCTCTTCTAAAGAAACGTAGCCAAAGCCGATGAAACCTTCAGGGTTTAGGGCTTAGGGTTTAGGGTTTTCACAAAGATAAACAGCCTTGATAAAACCCTAGAGAGCCTTCGAAGCTGACCTGGGAAGAACACTGTCAAAAGCCGCGGGCCTCGGAGGCCGGTGCGTTCCAGGTGCCATTCACCTGGTACTTCTTGTACTGCTTCTGCCTCCCGTGCAAGTTCGGATGTTCGTGGTTCATGGTGTTTGGTGTTCAAGGTTTTAGGGTAAACCCTAAACCCTGGGGCAAGGGTGTGTGGGTTCAGGGTTTACGGGCAAGGCTGTTGGAACCATGCCATGAACTGCGAGGGCTACTTTGTCTAAAGAATAACAAATGTTGATAGGAGGTTGTTTACAGATTCTGCGGTTTCAGGTTCAGGCTGAACTTCAGTGCTTTAGCTGAACCTGATAACCTTGAGATTGACACAGCATTGCAACAAGACCTCGAACGTAGATGTGTGCAAGCAGCACAAGGGCGAATGTATGCACAGCTACTTTTACTGCAGTGAACTAGTTTGGGCATGCTTTCAGATTCGAAGGAACGGCAATGATAGCAACAACGATGATGAAAGCTATTGTGTGACTGTGTGTTTTGGCATTCTCAAAAGATATCCTCTTTAAATAAAACTACAGGTGGTGAGTCTAGGGTATATATGGCTTCTATAAGGCTTCCATAAGGTATATAGGCCTTTCATAAGGCCCCTATAACGGCAACTACCCACCGGACAATGTCCTAGACCTAAGTTAGCCAGTAAACCCCCCCCATAATTGAGGGGGCCCTATCATTCAGTCTGGTAGGGAGACCCCGCGCATAAGGGTATTGCGCCGGAGAACGTATGGCAGCAGAGACAAGACTAGGTCATTTGGATGCGTTCTCTGTCGATGGAAGGCACTAAACCGCGCGGCTTGAGCAAAGATCAAAAAATCAAGCCGAGAAGCAGCTGAAAGTAGTTGTCGAGCAGGTACAGCTTATCCTTCAAGGGGTTTTTGTTTGGCTTTGAAGGCCCATGTTGCACGGTTTGGGGGGTTTAGGGTCCAAGGGCCAATCATCTGTAGAAGTGGTTGAGTCAAACGATGCAGTAAGTGGGTGCCGGCTTCGGGGCAAAAACCCTCAAAAAGATGCCAAGCAATATTGCAAGAACTGTAAGGGATGGGCGATCGGTGGCGGCAGGCACGAAGAGAGACGAAGAGTGGGAGAGAGACAAGTAAAGACACCGAACGAGCGAATGAGCCCATTATAAGTACCCTAAACCCTAAACCCCTAAACCCCTAAACCCTAAACCCTAAACTTGAGGCACTTCAAAGGATATCAGCTCATCGAATCTGCAGATGGGTCGGTCTCGGACCCAGCTCAACAAAAGCTGATACACCTTCCAGAACCAGGGAGTTTCCGAAAATTGGGGTACCTTATTTGGGGTCCTTATAGTAAGGATCCTATTATTTAGGATACTAAATTTGGGTTCCCTATTTTCGGAAACTCCCACATCAATCTGGATTTGAAAATCCTGAGGCCTGGCCGGCAAGGAATCCCGGAGACAGCGTGAGGCCATACTCCTCCTTGTCCTCGAGTCAGCTTGGAAACCCAGAGACTTCAATATCCCTTAAATTAAGGAATATACCTTAAATCATATTAAGGATCCTACTATAATTTAAGGAATACTCCTTAATTAAGGGATATTGGAGTCTCTGGGAACCCACGTGCTTCTGATTCTATCACGAAAAGGAGAAGTGATGACATCCAAGGCTGTGGCCATGGACCATTGGAAAGCAACGGCGCCGCTCATGAACTGTCCCATGTCCTGTGCACGAAGCTTTTGGCTGGGCTCATCCAGAAAGATTTCTGCACAGCTCTCTGCAGGGATTTAGGGCTGAGGACCTGAGAAGTCTAGGGGTTAAGGGGCTTAGGGTTTAAGGACCAGGGTTCCGTTTTTGGAAGAGTCCACACAACTCTTCCGAAGCGCAGAATCCGGACACCCAATCCAAAACTCTTAAGCCGTGAACCTTCAGCTGAGCCCCCTTTGTGTTGGCTCCTCACCAAGGAAGTGCTTCACATCTGGCCATGTACGGCCACCTTCCACTGAAGAAGTCCCACGACTACTATAGGGCGTTTACTAATAATTAGGGTCTACAAGGGTCTGTTATACAGGGGCTTTGGGATCTTGGGTATATCATCGTATAACTATGATCAGGAACCCTGAGGAATAGTATTGGCAACAGGCTTGCATATGACGCAGTCCCATTCTTAGCTGGGTTCTTGCCAAGGAACCGACTCTACGTTGCCACAAATAGCATTGTGTTGTATTAACAAAATGGTCCCTACTCGGGTAACTTAAACGATTAAGTTGCTTCAATGACAAAGAACAGAGCTTAAGATTCAGAGGATGCTGCAGGTGTAGCGCTCCCACGCATTGTGGACCAAAACGGATCAACTTGATTTACGCTTCGGGGATGTGGGGTTTATTTCTCACAACACGCCAGAATCCTGTGAGGGAAAAATCTCTGTCTACAGTTGCAAAGCATGAAGATCCTGTTCAAACCAGAGCCAGTCGACATGTTGAACTTTAAGCCTAGATCATCTAAAGCTCTTTAACAATAAGCCGGTAACAGTCGTTAACCCAAAACACGTAAAAGCCCTTCAACCCGCGCACGTCAAAGCCCGAATTTCGGAGGCTCTTCTAAGCCTTCAGGCCAGATTGCTCGTGTGAATTGGGCAGGCAGTGTCCAACATCTTCCAAGCATGGAACTCGTGTAGGGCGGGGTTTTCGGGGAGGGTTTCCGGGGTTTTCTTACAGCGTGGTGCAGAGATGGTCCAGGAGAAGAAACTTACAGTAGTCACGCAACTTCCAACTTGCATCCGCGGGCACGCGGGGAATCACACATGCCAAATCCAGCGAACCGCAAACGCTAAAACCATTTCAAGCCTTACTCCCTGAACCACGAAGCCCAAATTTTCAGGAAACCCTACACCCTCAAACCCAAACACTGAAAGCCCTTGAAAACCCGAAATCCCTTCAACAGCGCCGCGCCTGGGTACGGGCATTTCGTTTTGAACACGCCCAAATTGCAGCCGAACCTGGTCTGGCAGCTCGGGAATTTTCGGTTTGAATCCTCTGGAAACCCTAAACCCCTAAACCCCTAAACCCTAAACCCTAAACCCCTAAACCCCTAAACCCCAAAACCCTAAACCCCAAAACCCAAAACCCTAAACCCCAAAACCCCTAAACCCTAAGCCGTA